AGATACATACAACAGACAGTATTATATTTATATAAATACATACAACAGACGTATTACATTTATATAGATACATACAACAGACAGTATTATATTTATATAAATACATACAACAGACGTATTACATTTATATAGATACATACAACAGACAGTATTATATTCATATAGATACATACAACAGCTAGTATCATATTTATATAGATACATACAACAGACAGTATTATATTTATATAGATACATACAACAGACGTATTATATTTATATAGATACAGACAACAGACAGTATCATATTTATATAGATACATACAACAGACGAAATAATAATTTGATCTAAGTAAGAGGTTTTTTCCCTTCCCGATTTGTAAAAAAAATCCTTCCGTGAAACCTGCGTTACTGAATTATGGAAAATCCGTTATTAAAACCAAAACAACTGTCATGAAGTTTAAATTCGCAGGCCTGTGTTATACAAAGGTAGCCTGCAGTGATGGGAAGTTAGCCATTCAATTAGTTTCTTTAGGCAAAATTCGCAGCCACATTGTGCGTTATCACAATTGTTTAGTGGAGAGGAAAAAGTCAATTTTAACAAGATGTCTGCTTCCGTGTATTTATACGTGATAAGTTACGTTTTTCATATTTCCAGCTCACAATAAACTTGAAATGCTTAAAAAGGGGGGAAACTTTGGCAAACCGACGGGCTGTACTTTCAAATGTTTGTTTTCATGATTTCCCGTTTCTTGTCGTTTTAATGGAATGCCGCATTTTAAATAAATTCCCGGTCAAAGTGGGGTAAAAATAGATGACGGAAACACTGAAGAAAATTACATTTCCCAAAGGCTTTTGCACGACTAGAGCCAACTATTATTGTCAGAAATGGTTGCCCTCTCACAGATCCTTTCCCCCCATCCTCGTTGGCTCAGCGGTAAACCTAAGGGCTTGTAACACTAAATATCGGGTTTTGTTACTCGCAGTGGGCACAGCTCAGATAGCCCATTGTGTAACTTTGTGTTTAACAATAAACTGATCAAACACTGCTAATAAGTAGATTCAGCCTGAAAATAAAGGAACTTGCCATTGTCTGGGTTTACAGAATCAAGGTTAATATGCTGATAGCAAACGATTTTCTTAAATTGTAATATTATTCTACAACACATATAACAAGTCAGGACTGCCTATTCTACGACACATATAACAAGTTAGGACTGCCTATTCTACAACACATATAACAAGTCAGGACTATGTATTCTACAACACATATAACAAGTCAGGACTGCCTATTCTACAACACATATAACAAGTCAGGACTGCCTATTCTACAACACATATAACAAGTCAGGACTACTTATTCTACAACACATATAACAAGCCAGGACTACCAAAGAGGAACATATTTATAATTCACATCACTGAAGAATAGGTTATTATGTACTATGTGATATTATGATGATGATTATAATTACCTAGTCTTTTAATAATCACTGCTATAAGTGCAGAGGCTTGAGTACGTTAACTGAAATTATTTTGGAGCCTCATCAGTCGTTACAGTCCATATCACCACGCCCAGCCATGCTTTACCTGATGACCGTACACAGGAGCTCTGCAGCCGAGTTTCCATCTCTCAATGCTCCGTCGTAAGGCTGCAATGTCTAAAGCACACCGTACCTCTTTGCGTGCTTTCCATAATGCATCTAGTGTACGAAGATGACGATTTTCCAACAACTGTTTCAACTGTCCAATCGCAAAGAAATTCACAGGTTCTGTGTCCGACGACTTGATCAGTATATCTTCGTGTGGAATAGTATGAATCCCTGTTTCATTCTACAGCTGGTTCGGTTATGCTACAGTTGAGCGGAGGTATGATTGGAAGCCTTATCTTGATAAACCCATACCCTGGCGACCTCGGTTTCAGAAGGAAATGTTTTCTATTATGTTGCCGATTATTCCTTGGGACACGTGGACCGACTTTTGCCACTGATGTTTGTACTTTTGGATTCTCATCTGTTACAAGTCGCCATATTTTGCTTACCATTATATAAGGCTGGAGTACAACTTGTTGTAGGTCTCTTTCTGGATGGTCTTGGTTCCCTCAGTTGATCCATGTTCTTTTGTTTTCCAATGCCATTAAGTGCAAAGGATATCCTCGTCTTGGAAACACTAAATCCCGGAGTTAAACACATATTTACGGTCTAAGTGTATGCATATTTTGCGTCAGAAAATGCTGATCAATATTCGTAAATACTGTGTGTCAGAAAGGGCTGATCAATATTCAGTGGCATTATACAACCTAAGGCACGCCAAACAATCTTAAAAGGTATTTCCGATACACACTGTTTCACTGAGTATATCGGTTTTGTTTGTCACAAGATTTACATATTCAATATCGTTTTAATATACGTATCCAATCTCTGAATTGCTGTTATATAATTAATATAATGTCATTAGACATCAATAATATTTTGTTCACATATGTCAATTAGTTTACAAGTAACTATCGGACAACTTTACAGGAAGTATAGGGCATTAAAGGACACAACTCAAAATTATAAAACATATATATAGATTATATGACTAGTATACAAGCATTATTCCAGTAATACACAGTTATTGGTTAATTTAGTTGTTATTTGAGTTTTAATGACGCACAATAACAAGGAAAGCTCCTAGAAACTAGCTAAAGGTGTGTAGTTTCAAAATTCCGTGATTAAATACGATCACCAAAATTTCATGTACATAATTTTGAAGTATTTCCTCCCCTTTATAATATATATATAGACAGGAAAGCCCAAATTGTGTATAAATATTTTTCTGGTTTTCAGTTGAGTTTTTTTTCAGTACTGTCTACTTCACGGTAGTAGAAACATTATGTTTACTGTAATAATGTGTTATCGCTGACAGTTAGGTCATATGTCTTGACATTTTCTACTTGTTACTCACCATAAGATCAAATCTGTTGATATTTTCTTCTTATCATTCACCATAAGATCATATGTCTTGATCTTTTCTCCTTATCACTCACCATAAGATCAAATCTGTTGACCTATTATTTTCTGATAACTTCCCATAAAGTCATATCTTTTGATCTTTTCTTCTTATCAATTGCGATAAGGTCATATCTACGTCTTTGTAACTTACATCAACGAGTGTCACAACAGGAATATCTGAGGCGGAGAATAAAAATCGTCTTCTTGGCTACAAGTTGATTTCTGGAAAATTTTAAATTTAACATCGTTGGTTACACTTTGCTGAAAACAATGTACCAACTTAAAAAGAAGAATATTTTAGTTGGAACGATGATATACTTAGCAGGGAGAGTTCGATCTCCCAAAGTTACTGTGTAGTGAAAAATATTGGATATTTTCAACGTGAACTGACAGTTGTGCGACACATGGACTAAACGGTCTGGTCAAGAACCCTCCCAAAGTTC